CTGATTATGAAATGATGTTGGATATTGTCAAAGGCTTTTTCTGCATCAATTGAGAGAATCATATGGTCTTTGTTTTTTATTTTATTGATGTGATGTATTATATTTATAGATTTGTGTATGTTGAACCAACCCTGTAACCCTGGAACAAAACCAGTTTGATCATGGTGTATAATTTGTTTGATGTGTTGCTGAATTCTGTTTGCTAAGATCTTATTGAATATTTTGCATCGATATCATTAATGATATTGGTCTATAATTTTCTTTCTTTGTTGGATCCTTTCCTGGTTTGGGGATCAGGGTGATATTTGCTTCATAGAATGTGTTGGTAAGTATTCCTTCTTTTTCTATGCTTTGAAAAAAGTTGTATAATATAGGTACTAGTTCCTCTTGAAAGGTTTGATAGAATTCAGATGTGACACCATCTGGTCCTGGACTTTTTAGGAAGATTTCGTATTGATGCTAGTTCAGTGGTTGATATAGGTCTATTTAAGATTTATAATTCTGGTTGAGTCTAGGACAGTGATGTGCTTCCAGGTATTGGTCCGTTTCCTTCATTTCCGTATTTCTGGGAATAAAGATTTTTGTAGTAATCATTGAGGATTTTTTGAATTTCTGAGGTGGCTGTCATTATTTCTCCTTTATCGTTTCTGATAGATGATATCAGAGATTTTACTTTTCTATTTCTGGTTAGGTTGCCCAAAGGTTTATTAATTTTGTTAATCTTTTCAAAAAATCAACTTTTTGTTTCATTGATCTTCTGAATGATTCTTTTGTTTTTTGTTTCATTTAGTTCTGCCCTTATTTTGGTTATTTCTTTTCTTCTGCTGGGTTTGGGGTTGGAATGTTCTTCCTTTTACAGTTGCTTGAGATGATTCATTAAGTTGTTGGCTTCCTCTCTTTCTGTTTTCTTGATGAAGGCTTCCAGTACTAAAAATTTCCCTCTTAGGACTGCCTTTGCAGTATCCCACAGGTTTTGATAATTTGTGTCTTCATTATTATTTTGTTCCAGAAATTTGGTGATTTCCTTCTTAATCTTATCTTTGACCCAGCTATCATTCAGCCTAAGATTATTTAGCTTCCATGACTTTGAGTATGAAGATTCCCATTGCTGTTGAGTTCAACTTTTATTCCATGGTGGTCTGAAAAGATATAAGGAATAATTTCTACACTTTTAAATTTGCTAAGGTTAGACTTGTGTTCTAGGTTATCTATTTTGGAGGATGACCTGTGGGCTGATGAGAAGAATGTATATTCAGTTTTATTAGGGTGAAATGTTCTGTAGAGGTCTGTAAAGTCCATTTGTTCTAGGGTCAGGTTTAAGTCTAATATTTCTTTGTTTAGTTTCTTCTTGGAGGATTTATCCAAAACTGTCAAAGGGTGTTAAAATCTTCAACTATTATAGTGCAGGAAAATATCAAGTTGTTCATCTCCATTAGGGTCTGCTTTATGAATTGAGGAGCATTCTGGTAGGGTACATAAATATTAATTATTGAAATCTCTTCATGTTGGGTGTTTCCCTTGACAAATATGTAGTGACCTTCCTTATCTTTCTTTATCTTTGTTGGTTTAAAGCCAATTGTACCTGTTACTAAAATTGCAACCCCTGCTTTTTTCTGGTTTCCGTTTGCCTGTATTATATAAGTCCGTTCCTTTACCCTGAGTCTATTTTTATCCTTTAAGGTAAGGTAAGATTCTTGTATACAGCAGATATCCGGTCTCAGTTTATGTTTTCCAGTCAGCCAACCTGTGCCTCTTTAGAGGACAGTTTAAACCATTCGCATTAATTAATTGAGAGAATTGATAAGCCTGGTTGTGTTTTGGGTGTCATGATTTTTGGATGTCCAGTGGACATTTGTAGTCCTTTCACCACTGTGGAAGTTGGGTTTTGTTCAAAAATTTCTTGGTGAGTTTACTTTGGAGGTAGAGCATTGTGCTGGTTGTTGTGGAGGATGGCTCAGAGAATATCCCGGAGAGCTGGTTTAGTTATGGCAAATTTCTTCAACATGTCAGTGTCATTAAAGTATTTGATTTCCCCATCACAAATGAAACTCTTTTTAGCTGAATAGAGGATCTTGGGCTGGAAGTTGTTTTGTTTTAGGAGAGTGAAGGTCGATGACCATCTTCTTCTGGCTTTAAATGTTTCAGCTGCGAGATCTGCAGTCATTCTGATATTTCTCCCTTTGTAGGTGATGCTTTTCTTATGTCTGGCTGCTTGCAGAATTTTCTCCTTTGTCTTAACTTTGGCAAAGTTAATCACAATGTGTCTAGGAGATGCTTTGTTTGGATTGAGTCTTGTTGGGGTTCTGAAACTGTCTGCTATCTGAAGTTCTGTATCTCTTGCAATGCTTGGGAAATTCTCCTCCAAAATCTCTTGGACTAGAGCATCTATACTTTTAGGACCATCCTCTTTTCCTTTGGGAATTCCTATAAGACAAATGTTTGATCTTTTGGAGTGATCCCACAGCTTTCTCAGGGAATGATCAGTTTTTGCTCTCCATTTGTCTGCCTCTTTGAGCATTTAGGAACATTCAAAAGCTTTGTCTTCAGTGTCAGAGACCCTTTCTTCTGTCTGATCAACTCTTATTTCTGAGGGATTCTATTGTATTTTGGAGTTCCTCAACTAACTTTTTCATTTCCTTGAGCTCTGCTATTTCCTTTCTTATTATGTCCATATCTTTGGTGACTTTGTGTTTGAATTCATTAATTTCTTGAGACAATCTTTGGAATTCTGGTTCTATCTTTTTTCCATTCTTTTATTTGCCACCCATATTCTGAATTCAATTTCTGACATTGCTGCCATCTGTCTTATCATGGCATCATCATCAGTTGTATCTCCTTTGTCATTTCTTTGGGGGGTGGGGTTTGATCTACTCTGGTTATTCACATTGCCAGAGTTCTTCTGTTGGGTCTGCACCATGTTTATTTTCCACTGTTTGGTTATTTGAATGGGTAGGGTGAGATTGAATTGGGGTTCCCAGGTGGTAGAGATAGCCTCTTACCAAAGTGCTAGGCTTTGTAATTGTGGCTTATCTCCTACAACCTTACAAAGGCCCCTTTCAGAGTTTTGGCTGGAAACTCTAAGGACCTACTTGGTGAGATAGTGCAGTCTAGCTCTGTTTTGATTATCAGCCAACCTCTACCCTATCCTAAGAAGCCACAGTATTAGGTTTAAATCTCAGCTGTGGAGAGATATGAACAGCTGTAGCTCCCAGCCCCCACCCTTCAGTTCTTTTCTGCCACAGAACTTCAAAGGTCAGCCTCAGAATGTCCCCTAGTGAACAGCCCCAAACACAAGTTCCAATTAAATTGTCTAAGGCAGTACAAACCCTTCTCAACAGAAAGGGATTCAAGGGTCTCCAACTGCACAACTGGAGCCAGAGATCCATGCCCCTGCCTACCAGACTCAGTCCACACTGTTGTCTGCTTCTCTGCTCACAGGCCCAGTTGGAGCCAGGGGCCATGCCCTGCCCACCCATCTCAGTCCACACCCAGCTAACCTCTGCTTACCAGGCCAGTTGGAGTCAGAGGACCATGCCCCCACCTGCCAGTCTCAGTCCACTGCCTGGCAAGCCTCTGTTCACAGGCTCTGTTGGAGTCAGGGCACCACACCCTGCCCGCAGGTCTCAGTCCTCACCCGGTAAGCTCTGCTCACTGACTGGCTGGAGACAGGGGACCATGCCGTTGCCCTCAGGTCTTGGTTCACACCCAGCAAGCCTCAGCTGGAGGGTTCTGTTGGAGTCAGGGGACCAATGCCCTTGCCCTCAGGTCTCATACCATGCTTGGGTAAGCCTCTGCCCGCAGGCCCAGTAGGGCCTGGGGACCAGCCCTGCCTGCCGAACTCAGTCCACATGGGGCAATCATTTCGCAGTGTGGGTGCCGACAGAGCTGGGGGTTCTGCACCCCGTCCCACCATACACAACCCCTGAGGGTCAACACTGGCCGGGCATTGTCATAACCAGGGGACTGCTCCTCTTCCCGCTGAGTGTCCCTTTCTTCCCATACCCTCTTTCTTCCCCATTAGTCACAGATTCCATTCTGATGATTGGTGGTCTACACTATGCCCAGATCTCTCAGGAAAAGACCAAACACTCTGTGCTCTGCAGGGGGCAGGATTTCAGAATGCCATGCAAGCAGGGAAGGGTGGAATGGGAGTTTGGACTTGTGCGGGAAAATAACTGTTCAATTTTATGCCTGGTGGGGTGGACTTTAGGTTCATAAGTGGGACCTCCCTGGAGAAAGAGACCTGGGTGCTTAGTGGCTCTCTGCAGAGAAAATGAGATGTCTTTTGTTCCCTGCTCCCTTGCAGGCTATCTGTGGCAGGCTTCCTGCTTGGGGGAGGGGTTTTTGGTCCTCTTGTTGATAGGCTTTGTACCTGTAATTTGTTTTCTTGAATGCTTTTCCTTGGAGTTACAGCTTGCCGAACTTCTTTCTTGGCTCAGCTTCTCACCTTTGACTTCATAGAGCCCCATTCTGTCCAGTTTTTCTTCCTCTGGTCAGGAGCCTCTGCTGAGAGTTGCTACCAGTTAGCCATCTTCCCCGAATCCCTTGTTATATATTTATTATTTTAAAATATATTTTTGTTATGTGTGTATTATTAAGTTTTTTTGTGCTTTGTATGAACTTAGATTAGAAGAGCATGGTTGTATTATGATTTAGTTCATCTTAAACAACCTTCCTCTTTTCTTGAATTAATCTTCTCTTTCTCTTTTTTTTATTTCCTATCAGTTAAGTAGGTAGATATATTCTCAAGGCAGAAAATTAGGGATAATTATTCTTTTAGTTTTCTTTTATCTTCTTATTGAAATGTTACTAATGAGCCATCTTTAGTAAAATATATTAAACTCTGAATATTACCTTTCGAGTGGAAAAGTGACCAATGTTGGGTATTCTTTTTGGTCTTTAAATTCTTACTTGAGTTTATATATACAAAAATTAAAACAGAAATAAATGTTACATGAAGGAGATCTTTGTAATGCCATTTTTTTTCCTCCTTAATATAGGAAGTTCACAAATGGGTGCTACCATAGTAGATGCTTTGGATACCCTTTATATCATGGGGCTTCATGCTGAATTTCTAGATGGGCAAAGATGGGTTGAAGAGAACCTTGACTTCAGTGTGGTGAGTATATGATTGATAATTAATCTCTGAGATTGTGAAAAGATACAATGTCTAATTGCTGTGGTCTGAATGTTTGTGTTCTCCCAAATTCATATGTTGAAACCTAATCACTAATGGATGGTATTTGCAGGGGGGGCCTTTTGAAGGCAATTATGTCATGAGAGTGGAGCACTTATGACTAGAATTAGTGTCAGTATAAAATATGCCCCAGAGACCTGCCTTGCCCCTTCCATCATGTGAGGACATAGTGAGAGGGCATCATCTGTGAATCAGGAAGGAGATCCTCACCAGATACTGAATCTGCTGGTGCCTTTATCTTGGATTTTCCTGTCTCTAGAACTGTGAAGAATAAAATTGCCTGTCTTCTTTTGAGATTATCAATTGCTATTTAATTTTTGCATAATATATACACCCTTTCTCACCATCTTCCTTTTACTTTATCATTTGAGACAGTGTGTTAAATGTGTTAAGATAGTAGGAAGAAAAAAGCAGTGAATTAGAAATATCAGAAAACTATAAGTACTTTGTAAATAAGTAGTTTTTTTTAAGAGAGAAAGATTTAATGATTTGGTACAACTTAATGAACCTTCATTAGGCCTATGCCCATCTGTCAGTACTTTGGTGTAATTGTTAAGAGGTACTGCTCAGGTTTGGAGCCCAGCATAGCTACATTCTAGCTGTGTGACTTGGGAAAGTTCTTGTTCTTTCTGAACTTGCATAGAATTGCTATCCCAGTGTAATATTGTGATGATTATTTGAGATAATCTGATATATATCACGTGCTCAGTAGATGGTAGTAATTATTTTCATTGTTAACTAGTCTTCACCCAAAAGAAATGTGGACTGTTGTGTCATATTCATTATCATCTTTCAGGATATTTGTGCTTGCTGTTCCTTTTGCCCTTAGTATCCTTCTCTGTGCTTTTCTTTCTAGTAACCTCTTCAATATAACAGTTTTTATTATCTGTTAAATTTAGGTTTGGGTATGGAGTGGCAGAAAACCTAATGTAAAATAGGTTAAACAAGATAGATATTTATTTGTCTTTCATGTAAATCAAGCACAGAGATAAGCAGTTCAGGGCTGGTTTGGGTAGCTCTTTTGTCAGCAAGGACTTAGGATCCTTTGTCTTGTTGTTCTGTCTACCTGGTACAAGATGGTTCTTTGAGAAACAGGCATCTTGTCCAACTTCCATTTGACAGAAAGGAGGAAGAATCAGAAGAAAGACATGTGACTATTCTTTAAGAATACTTCTCAGGGGTTGGTTCCCCTATTTTTGTATAGTCTTTACTAACATAGCCCTCTCTAACTGTAAAGGAAAGCTGAGAACTGTTGTTTTTTTTCTTAGTAGCTAGGTAGCCAGTATAGATTGTGCTTTTTGTATCTCATTTAAGAACTTCCTACCTTTAGGTTGTGTTATGGGTCCTTACAAAAGTTTTAAGATACACAAAAATCAAGAAGCGTAAAACCTGCACAGATGAAAACAAATGAAGCCCTTCTAGTAAAACTGATAAGTAGAGCAAGTTGGAAGTTCCATGAGTGAATCAGAAAGGACGCTGTGGACTGTATTTCTTGGAAGTGAAATAATGGAACATAATGCAGTCTATCTCAAAACTTTCTTAGTGACCTTTGTATTTTATTTACATGTTCTAAAGTTTTGTTTTTGCATTTGCTTTTAACTCATATAAAATTGAGTTTTGTAGGAAATTACCAATTGATCCTAGGATTATTTATTTCTTGCTGTTTTTACATGCCACATTAGTCATATATTAGCCATATTAGTTTATTCTTTTTTACTGGCTTTTTTCTTTATCCCTATATTAGTACTAAACTGTCCTAACTACCATATTGTTATAAGGAGCTTGATATCTGTACCTGAATCTTGAGGTCTGATCTTGTTCTACAAGGAAATTATCCTAATTCTCAGTCCTTTGTTCTTTCAAGTTCTGAAAAACCTTGTTGAAATTTTGATGAGGATTGCATTTAATTTACAGATTAATTTGGAAAGAATTCAGCATCTGTGCAATCTCAAATACTCTCATTCATTAACATGACAGCTTTATTATGGCTAGTAATTCCCTTGTATCAGTTAGAGCTCTATCAGGAACTAGAAGTATACCATCTATTTTAACTAGAAGATTTAACATCTAGAATCGTTAACCAAGTAATAAGGAACCAAAAAGGCAAAAAGAGCATTGTGCTATCACCAGAGGTAGTAACTATAAGAAATAGGGAACAATTTCCACCTGTGGGGCTGTGAAAACAATGGGAAGTGATTAGGATCATTAAAATTTAATAGCTTGGGCCCTGTGGAATGAGTACTCCGTGTTGTCCAGGTGTTTCTGGTACCTTAGGAGCTCTTAGAAGGGCTGTCTCAGAGTTGGGTTTCAGACCTCTTAAGAGAGGGCACCTAGTTAAGAGTTTAGTATCTCTAGGAGGCCATTGAGGCTGGTGTGGGGGTTTCTGTGTATGTGTGGCAGGAGGTCTGTGTTTGGGAACCAGCTACCACTGACAGGATGAAGCATCCGTGGCTGCTGTGACACTGAGAAATTAGAAGTAAACAGGAAGAAATAAGTCCTTTTTCCTTCCCCCAAGTTTTGTATTGTCTTTTTAGAACTTCTATTGGTAAGGCCTAAAAGGGAGTCAGGTGGTAAATGAAATAAATTTGTAGAGTTCTGACTCCTGGTATGCCGTAGTAGAGTATAGAAAAATGGATTTGAACTAGAAGGAAATAGTTTAATAAATCAATCAGCACAGTCATTTTTCATCCCATTACTTTCAACTTTTCTGTGTCATTATGTTTTAGTTGTATATTTTGGATAAACAAAATTGTATATTTGAATTTTGATTTTTATACTCAGTCTTAGAGTCTTTTTATTTTAACTGTTAAGCTTAAAATATTTACATTTGTTGTAGTAACATATATTTGGAGTTAGGTCTTTCTTCCATCTTTGTTTTTCTACCCATGTTGTTACACTTTTCATTTGCTTTTATTTTCTGTTTGCCGTCTTTGTTTTGTATTAAATCATGTCTCTTTTATCCTCTGCTAATTTAATGTGTATTTTTATTTCCATTCATTTTGGAGTTACTCTTAAAGTTTTAATATACAAGTATATACTCAACAGAGTTTAAAATTAATCAGTGTCTTTATCTTCCTTCTGAAGCATATACACATCTTAGAACACTTTAACTTAGTTCATTTCCTTTTTGTCCTATGTGTAATTATTATTTAGTTAATTCCAGTTTATATTTGAAACTTCTGAGTTAAGTAATAGCTAAGTAAATAAATACATTTATTGAGTGCTTCCTCTGTCTTTTCTAGATTCTATGGCTATAGTAATGAACAAAACAAAGTCTTTTCTCTTTCTTTTTTTTTTTTTTTAAATTGTTGGGGAATCACTGAGAATACAAAGAACCAGGTTACACTGATTGCAGTTGTTAGGTTAAGCCCCTCTTATAATTGTGTCCCCCGTCCAAGAGGTGTGTCAGCCACATTGTGACTCCCCCCTTCCCTTTCTCTGCTCCCCCATTGCCCCATCTCTACCATGTACTGGCATCAGTTTTCCTCATATCAGAAGTGAGTACATTGGATTCCTGCTTCTCCATTCTTGAAATGCTTTACTAAGCAGAATGTGTTCCTCCTCCATGCATGTTAATACAAAAGATAGACTGTTATCATCTTTTTTAGTGGCTGAATAGTATTCCATGGTATACGTGTACCACAGTTTGTTAATCCATTCCTGGATTGGTGGGCATTTAGGTTGTTTCCACAATTTGGTGATTGTAAATTGAGCTGCAGTAAATGGTCTAGTGCAGATGTCCTTATGATAAAATGATCTTTTTTCTTCTGGGTAGATGCTCAGTAATGGGATTGCAGGGTCAAATGGGAGGTCTAGCTTGAGTCCTTTGAGGATTCTCCATACATCCTTCTAAAAAGGTTATATTAGTTTGCAGTCTCACCAGCAGTGCCTTTTCTCTTTCTTGAGTTTATACCCTAGTGTTGGAAGAAAAATGATGAACAGATATTCAAGTTAATATAGTATGTCAGGTGATGATAAGTGCTGTGGAGAGTAATAAGGAAGAATAAGTAGGATTGGAGTAAATAGTGGTAAGTTACTGCTGTTTTACATAGGTGGGTTCTGAAGGAATTTTGGTTAAGTTGACATTTTTGACAAGATATCCAGGAGAACCCATATGGACACATGGCTCTGTCTTAATAGGTATTATAGCTGAGAATAGAATTATAGGTCAATGTTGATTCTCTTTCAGTTAAAGGTAGAGTTCCATTGTCCTTCCTGTTTCTTTTATGCTGTTAAGTGTGTTGTCAGTCTAATTTTTAAAAGATCTTCTATATTTTTTCCCCTTGTTTTAATATTTTCTTTTTCACTTTGTTGTTCTATAATCCATTATGATGGGTCTATGTGCAAGTTATTCTTTAAAGGGCTCATAATGTTTCATCACTGTGAGCACTTACATTTTCATCATTTTAGTGGAGTCTCAGTCATTCCTTCTTACAGTAATGCCTCTCCCATTTATCCATTCTCATCCTCTAGAACAGTGGTTTTCAATCTTTTTTATATCACAGCACGCTTGTACCTATAGTTAAACTTCTGTGGCACACTTAAATTATGTTGATCAAAGAAAAGAGGAAAAAAGAGACTATACTTACTATGCTTTGAACTTTTTTTGAAATTAATTTAATTGATGATCTTTAAAAATTTTCATGGAACACCTAAAATCCTCTTCTGCAGTGGTTCTCAACCTTCCCAATGCTATGACCCTTTAATACATTTCCTGTGGGTTGAGAACCGTGCTGTTAATGGCATACCGGTTGAAAATCACTGCTCTAGAACTTCTTATGTCTTCTTTCTAGTGAAGCAAGAGATAAATTTTACACATAAAAATATATTATTGCTATATGATTATTGTATAGTAATCAGATGATAACAAGTATTAATTGGGGGAATAGTGTAAGGAAGGGGAGGTATTAATGATGTCAGATTACTGTTTTATATTGGGTAGTCAGAAAAAATTTCTGATGAGGTGACATTTGTTCAAAGACATGCAGGGAATAATACAGTGATTACTTCAGCTATGTGAAGGGAAGATATCCAGACAAAGGTTAACAAGTGTAAAGACTGACATAGGAGTCTTGAGTTGTACTGTTACAGAGAAAGCAAGTAGACACATGTAGTTACGTGAGTCAAAGTGGTACTCATGGGCGACATATCAAAGAGCTTGTAGAGTATCTGAGCATGTTAGGTCATTTTACTCTGAGTGTAATGTGAAGCCCTTGTAAGAGTTTGCACAAATTAGTGATCTAAACTGACATAAGAGTCAAAAGACTCACTCCACCTATTGGGCAGTGAACGGAGTGTAGGGAGAAAGGTAAGTATGAAAGCAGGGTTATCGGTTAGAAGGTTATTGTTACAGTTCTGGAGAGCAGTGGAGGCTTTATTTCCCTCTTTCCCTTCTTTCTCATATTTATTGAATGTCTCTTTTGTGCCTTACAGTATATGTTGGGAATATATGAAATAGTATCAAGCACTTTGCTCTTGGTGTTGGGGTGGGATAAAAGCCAGGTTATCAAAAAAATTACATTTTATTGTGAAAGTGCTATAATGTATAAATATACTAGTGTTAGTGAAGGATGTGTTCTGCCTGTGATCCTGGAGAGACTTTAGAGTAATGCATTTTTTCTTTTAATTTTTGTTAAGAATTAATTATAAATATTATTTTTATATTAGTCAATTGTATATAGTCTTTGGAGTCTTTGGTTGTATTCTCTGACATTACTTTTCTTTCCATACATTTGAATTTTTCTAGCAACATCTTTATCCATGTCTAAATACAAACATATGAACTCATTATAGTAAGATTATTAATTTTCCTATATTTGTACCAAATTTTCTTTTGTTCGCTTGCCTTTTAATTTTGTTCATTGCTTTATTTTTTGCATTTTAGGAAAATTTCAGTATGTTATTGAAACTGTTGATTTTGTGGTTATAACTTCTAAGCAAGTTTATATATTGTCACTTATCTACTTCTATATTTTTTTCTATTCTAAATAATTTAAACTTCATTTTGATATACGGGGTGGCTATAAAGTTCGTGTGCAATACAAACTTTATGGACACCCTGTCTATGCAAAATGACTACATTAATTTCTTACCTAGGAGCCAGTTTTCTAAACATTATTAATTTCATAATGCATCATTATACCATATTCTTGTTGCCTCCTTTAACAGCTATTAAGTTATTATGTATACTTCAAAACATATTTAAAATTCATGAGGAGATATAAATGTAAAAATTAATGGTGCAGTGATTAAAGCAGAAGGAAAGAGCCAGCAGTAGAGAGTACTGTTCCAGAATTCAACGAGTGAATGCTTTCATGAAGAAGGGACAGAAATCAGTAGTGTCAAATCTTGGTGATTTCACAGTACTGTGTAAGGTAAGTGAAAATGGCTCACTGTTTTTGGCAGATAGGAAGCTGTGGTGACAGTAATGGGGAGTTTCAGTAATGGTGACAGAAAGGAGGTGAGATGGCAGTTGCATGAGAAGTGAGGATGCAGAAGTAGAACAGCGTTTTCCACAGGATGTTTGTGAGAAACAATTAAGTATTGAAAATCTTTTGAAAACTATAAAGCATGTGTATATTCAATGTTTTCACAGAATTCAGAGGTGTCTGTGTTTGAAGTCAACATTCGATTTATTGGAGGCCTGCTTGCAGCATATTACCTTTCAGGAGAGGAGGTGAGCAAAATCAAGTAACCTGTTTGTTTTGGAGGAGGGGCTATAAATGGAATTTAATAAAATGAAAGATTTCCTTAGCAGCATATCATTTTTCAAAATTGAGTAATATTGAACTAATCTAAAGGTTTGCTTCAGGCAGAACTGTTCCTTGGGAATAATAATTTTTGAGAATAAAACAGATTCATCACAGCTATATATACAGTATGTCTCCTTTGCAAGAGTGATTTTTCTCTAGGATTTGCATGGTCCAAATGAAGGGGAAAAAGAAAATAACAAGATTAAAGAACGAAGAATCAATGTAGACCCTCCAAAAATTAATTGTTAAAACTTCCTATTTAGAAATTAAATGCAATTTATTGCTATAAGTAATAATTATTTAAATGCCGCCAGATTCTCCTCTCTGGAAGTCTTGGCACAATATATTTGGGACTGAGGGTGGTGGGGAAGTGGGTGTGGGAAATTTCTTTTTACTTCTGAGATTGGTTGAAAGATGAGGTTGAAGAATGGGAGAAAGAGAAACTTAAGGGAAGAGGTTATAAGTCATTTCTATTTCATATGTTTAGGAACTACTTCACCTTATGTATATATTTTTTTTCTTTAGAGACAGAGTCTTGCTTTGTTGCCCAGGTTGGAGTGCAGTGGCATGATCATAGCTCACAGCAACCTCAAACTCTTGGGCTTAATTGAACCTCCTGCCTCAGCCTCCCAAGTAACTGGGACTACCGGTGCGTGCCACCACACCTGGCTAATTTTTAATTTTTTTTTTTGGTAGAGACTGTGTTGCTCAGGCTAGTCTCAAACTCCTGGCCTCTCTCTTTGGCCTCCCCAAAGTTGGCTATTCACCCATATTTTTAAATTGGCTTGTTAGTCTAAATGATTTATAAGAGCTCTTGATAGATTTAAGGAAGTTCATTTTTTTGTTATATGTGCTGAAAAAATGTATTTTTATACTGTCTTTGTTTTGTTTTGTTCTGTTCTTTTTTTATAGTTAAAGTAGTCATTTTTTTTTTTCCACCCTTAATGGCTTCTAGATTGTGGTCCTTGGAAAGCCTTACCTATGTCTGTGTTATTACTAAACAAAAATTTCTTCTTTTTCTATGTTTTTATGACTTCATACACTTACATTTAGTTATTTCATTAATGTTTATATATTTGTGTGTGTAAAAAGTGGCCTATCCATTTATTGTTTTTTGAAAAGAATTATGTTTGAAGATGCTTATCATATTAAGATATATATATACACACACACACTATTAGATAACATTTATCTTAATATGTAGTTTTATTGTCAGATTTTATTATGTAACTTGGTAATACCTCTAATCTATGTTCTATAGTCAGAACATTTCAATTCATATTTAGTAAAGTAGAAAAACATGATTTATACTCTGGTTGGGAAGTTTTCAGACTCCATTGTGTATCAGAATCACAAAGGTGTTTTTTAAAAATGAATATTCCTAGCTCTATTCACAAGACTCTGACTCATTTGGTTTAGTGTAAAGACTAATATACACATTTCTTGTCAAGTACTCCTTGTCAGAGGTGATTTTTGAAATGGTGGTTCTATATTTTGAGAAACTCTGACCTACCTCATAGGAATAAAGTCACTGTAAGTTCATTAATAGAATTTTTTTTAGTCAGATTTATTGAGTTTATATGCACATAGATAAAAATTCACCAATTTTTGTATATAGTTCTATGAGTTTTGACAGTAGTCTTGATAGTCTTGTAAACACCAACACAAGTCAAGATAGAGAATTTTATCATCCTAGAAAATTTCCCTTTATGATTTTATAGTCACCTACCCCCTATTGCCAGCCCCTGCTGACTGTGTCTACAGTGAGGAATATTAGCTTCTTTAACTTAGCATACTGCACTTGAGATTTAGCCATGTATTAGTAGCACTTTACTAATACTGTGGAGTATTACATCATACAGATGTAATATATTTTATCCATTCATCAGAGAGATTGTTTCTAGTTTTGGAGATAATGAATAAATCTGCTATGAGCATTTCATTATAGATTTCCACGGGAACATACATTTTCATTTCTCTTGGGTAAATACAGAGGAGTGGATTGCTAGGTCAAGGGTAAATGTATATTTGAAGACACTGCCAGACTTTTTCCTAACATTTCCTCCCTTGGTGACCACTTCTTGGTATTGTGAGTGTATTATTTTTAACCATTTTAATACTTATGTAGTAATATCTCATTGTGGTTTTATTTTGCATTTCCCTAGTGACAAATGATGTTGAGTGCTTATGTATCATCTGCATTTTTTTTTTTTTTTGCTCAATTGTCTGTTCAGCTCTTTTGCCCACCTAAAAAATCTTTGGTTTTCTTATTTTTTATAGTTTGTGTATTTTGGGCCACATGTTTTATAACCTATTTGTTTGCAAATATTTTCTTTCTGTCTGGCTTGTCTTTTCAGTGACTTATTATCTTTTGAAGAACTAAAGCTGTAACATCTTGAAGAAGTAAAAATTTATAAATTTTGTCTTTTATGCTTCATGCTTTTGGTATTATACATATTTAAGAAATATTTGCCTAATCCAAGATCACAAAGATTTTTCTCTTATGTTTTCTTCTAAAAGTTGTATAATTTTACCATTAAGTCTATAATTTATTTTTAGTTAAATTCATATTTGCTGTGAACTATAAGTGAGGTTTATTTCTTTCCAGATTACCCTTTCGTTGACTTTGCACCTTTGTAGAAACTCAGTTGATTGTATACATGTATTTTGGATCTACCACTGGGCACTCTTATTCTCTTGATTTATGTGTCTGTTTTTTTGCCACTAGCACATTGCGTTCATTATTATGGTTTTATGGAAAGTCTTGAAATTAGGTTTCTTTAAAAAATTGTTTTGACTGTTTCAGTTACTTTTTTTGTTCGTTTAAATTTGAGAATCAGCTTTAATCAGGAATTTTGATTGAGATTATCAATGTAGAGAGACTTGACATATTAAAGATATTGAGTATTTTAATCCATGAATATGGTATGTACTTAATTTACTTTTTAAAAATTTTTTCGTTAATGTTTTTAGACTTTAGCATGTAGATCTTACACATATTTTGATAGTTTTATATATATTTCATGTTTTTTGGTAGTTTGTGTTTTTAATTTTAATTTCTAATTATTCATTGTTGGTATATATGAATACAATTGTTTTTAAAAAAAAAACTTTCAAGAAGTGGGGTGTGGTGATTCAAGCCTATAATCCTAGAACTGTGAGGCAGAGGCAAGAAGATTGCATATACCCTGGAGTTTGAGGTTGTAGTGAGCTATGATAATCCCGTTGTACTTTATACCAGGCAACAGAACGAGACTCTGTCTCAGAAAACAAATAGCAATAATAATCTTTTAATAAAGACTTACATTCTCAGCTGACTCAGGACATTCTGTTTCTTTCTAGATAGCTTCCTGATATCATTTAAGAAGATGGTAGTAAAATGTAGTAATGCAATTTACTATTTTAACCATTTTAAATATACAGTTCTGTGGCATTAAAACATTTACATTTTTGTGCAATATGTAATGGCCTTTCTACCCTGAAATTTTCCTACCTTCATTAATTGATTATAGTAGCTTTTGAGTGGATTTTAATAAATTCTTTGGGATTTTCTATGTAAACAATCATGTCATTAGTAAATAGAGATAAATTTTATTTTTCTGTATAGAGAAAAGTTTTATTTGTGTAGGTCTTTTATTTCTTTTTCTTACCTCACTGAATTGCTTAGAACTTTCACTACAAAGTTTGGGAAGAGTGGGCATTCTTGGCTGGTTTCTGATCTGAGGGGAAAGTACTTTATTTTTTCATCATTAAGCATAATGTTAGCTATAATTTTTTTGTAGATGCTCTTTATCTTTTATTTCTGGTTGGAGAGTTTCTATCATGAATGGATATTCAGTGTTATCATATGTTCTTGTGGCGTGTAATGATTATAAGATGTTTCTTCTTTAGTCTGGTGATAGAGTGAATTATGTTGGTTGATTTTGGAATATGAAACCAGTTCTGCATAATTGGGACAACACCTACTTCATCATGCTATATTATCTTTTTTATATATTGCTGGATTTGATCTGATAATATATTATGGAGGTTTTTTGGCATCTATGTTCATGTGACATACTGTTTTGTTTTAATAACTTTGTGCCTGTATGTGTATATTTTGCATAAGAGTAATGCTTGACCTCATAAAATGAGCTGGAAAAAAATTTTTTTTTTCTCCTTCTGGAGAAATTTGTGTATAACTGATATTATTTCTTAGTTAAATTTTAGGTAGAATTTCCCAGTGAGTTGAAGTTTATTTTTCTTTTTTTTTTTCCCTGTGGTAGATGTAGTATGGTTTGGTTCTTTCTTTCTTCCCCTCCCTTCCTTCCTCTCTCCCTCCTTTCTCTGTTTCTCTCTTCCTTGCATCTCTTACATAAACATGCCTTCTCAGATATGTCCTGTTACCCTACTTCAGTGTTGGAGAATCAGCAGCTAGTGGGGAGAGCAGCTCAGGAAGTTCAGTGTTGGAGAATCGGCAGTTAGTGGGGAAGGCAGCTTAGGAAGGTATTTTAAGACATTTTTCAGGGGAAGAAGTTTTGGGTCAAGTGGAGAGTTTAGACCTAAGAGTAGGTATTTCATCTTCCTAGGGAAATCTAAATCTTAAAAGTTTTTATGAAGAAAGGCACCTCTCTCAGTGACCTTAGGAGAATATCCCAGACTATTGTTTGGCAGAGGCAGAGAGAAGATAGGGGGAAGCAGCAGATGCAGATCCAAGGCAGAGAAATGAAATGCCATGTGGGAGAGCTGATGGGACTGGACAAGCTAGACGTCCAAGTCATAAATTCCACTGGAATTTTTGGTACAGGGACTAACTATGTTCTAGGTCACAGAGCGGAAAAACCAGGTAAAGATCTCACAGGTAGTAAAGGTAGACAGTTAAAGTAGCAGACCAAGAGGTAGATTTTCCCATAATGAAAACTCACAGGCCAGCAGTTTTGAAGCC